GGGGGGGGGGGCACATGGGGGTGAAGAACCACAGGCCTGTTTTGGTGTCCTGATTTTGGAGTGCTCAAGTTGGACACCTTTCCATACAGACATGGAGGCAGCCACTGGACAGGCAGAGCTGGGGGCCTGAGACCCGTGGTCAACCTGAAGCTGGAGTCATGAGGGGCAGGGCTCCCATGGAGGGTGTGGCAGGAGGGTCAGGATTTGAACCCATGTATGTGTTTGAAAGTCAGGTGGGTCTCCCTGAGCCTCCCACCCCAGTTCAGGGGTGTGTGAAGCTGAAGCTGGGTGCTGTGACGTTCAGAGGGAGGAGGCGAGGTGGTAGGTCTGGGGCCTAGCACAGCTGCTCCCTGACTTCCCAGAAGCTGGGGGTCTCTTTGGGGCCCTTGTCACCCAAAGAGTTCTGGGTCAGACCTTGGGGTCAAAACCACATTTGCTGAGGGCCCCCGTGTGCCAGGTCCAGGGTCCAGGGACTCCCAGCCTGAATGGTGAAGAGCTGGGGTGGCAAGTGGAAGAAACTAGGACTCTTGCCTCAGTTTCTCATGAAAATCCACTTTATTCACTCATCTTTTCATTCCANAGGTGAAGAGCTGGGGTGGCAGGTGGAAGAAACTAGGACTCTTGCCTCAGTTTCTCATGAAAATCCACTTTATTCACTCATCTTTTCATTCCACAAACTTTTGCTTGAGGGCCTGTGGGAGTTGAAGTCCTGGCATGTGTTTCAGGGCGTAAGGGCTGCAATAATAGCAGGATGAGGAACGGACAATAAGGGGAGTCACTCATTGGGACCAAAGAGCGGTGGTCTGGTCGGTGCTGGCTGTTAGGGATGCACTTGGCTTTAGTTTCAGTGGGCGAGAGGGAAACTAAGATAGAGGAATGTGTTCTGCTTGGGTCTCTTGGAGTTGTCTTGTCCAAACTGCCTTGGAGAAGAGGAGCTTGGAGGATGTGGGGATGCTTGGAGGTTGACCTTGAGGCTACCTTCCAGAAGGAAGGGATGGAGAAATGAAATGGTGGAGGCAAGGGGTGGTTTCACAAACGGCTTGTGGCCAGGGCGAATGATCTGACTCCGGGCTGCAGAAGAGAGAAGAGGGGTGTTGGATTTGCGGGATTTGGGGGGGGGGGCATGCCAGGCAGGGCGGAGCTGATCTCTCTGAGCCGAGCCTGCCTGGAGGAGTCACACAGCAGGCGAGTGGGATTTGAACCCTCCGGCGTCCATAAGTGGGCTTAGGGAAGATGACTGCGCAGAGAAACTCTAGAAGAGCAATTTCCTGCTGGATTTGTAGAAAACCTTTGGTTTGACCCTGACCTTGAAGCCTTGATAACACGAGCCACTCTATATCCCTATGGCTCAGACAGGCCATTAGCCTGGAGCAGCAGATCTTTTGAGAGGTGCTGGGAACAGTTTCCATCCAGGTAAAGGAGGAAATCACAGGTTCATTCCTCGGACAGCCGTGCCGGGCAGGGCCTGGCGCACCGTAGGCACCTATTAAGTGTCTGCTGACTGTGGATTGAACTGAACGCAGAGCTGAGAATGAAGCTCCCCAGCTGCTCCCCCCCCCTCCCCCCACAGACTTCCAAACTGTACTTTTCCAGATTTGTTTTTCTTGGTGCATTTCCCTCAAGTGTAGATGAGGAAGTCCTTTAAGATCGGGACAGGGGTCATCATTTTGCAGCTGTCACCAGCTTGGCACAGCCTGGCTCTGCTTGGCTGCCCGCGTTGCCTCCCTTTGGCCCGAGAGCTCGACCTCCTAACCTTTCAGAACCGGCTTCCACGGCTCTGCTGAGCCCCGTCCCCGTTTCACGATGGCAACTGTCTGGAGTGTGCGAGTAGGTGGTCCCATGAAGCTGTGACCACTGTGGAAGGCCATGGTAGAGGAAGGGGAGAGCCTGCTGGGTGAGCACAGGGTGCCGAGGAGCCACAGGAACACATGGTCAGAGGCCCGGAGCCCAGAGGGTGCCAGGTGTCAGCCCTGTGTCTGCAGCATCCAGACAGCCTGGATTCTTTCTCATGAACCAAAGGGGGAGAGGGCAGTGGCCGGGCAGAAGGCGGAGGCTCATGCGGAGTTTTCCGGGAATTGGCCAGAGTGCACTAGAAACCAGTCAGAGCATCCTTGTGGGAGGAAGTGCAGGGCAAGGGTCAGGGGTCAGAGGTCAAGAAGCTTGCTAAGGCTGGACGTGGTGAGCACGTAGGAGGCTGAAAGCCTTTTGAGTAGACTGTGGTAGTCATAGCTGGTAGTTATGGCTGGAGGACTGTGCCGTGGGGATGGAGGAGGCACCAGCCTCACTGGGAAATGCTTGCCTCGCAGGAGAGCTGAGATCAGAGGGACAGAGAGCCTCCAGCCCTAGGCGACCCCATGCAGCTCTGCCTTCACCCTATGGCTTGGTCCGACCTCCTCGGATGTTAGCCCCAGAGGAGGCTTCCCCTGTCCCTGGCTTTGGGGGTCTCTCATGGGTGGTGCCTTGCTTAGTGGCCAAGACCATGAAGACTGGACCAGACCACCTGGGTTAGAGCTGGGTCCTTCCCTCCCTCCCGTCCAAGTGGCATTTCCCAAGCCCTTTTTCCACCTGTGAAACGGGTTATGTGATTGTGTTAGAGGAATGAACCAGACGATGACCATGAGGGGTTTAGTGTAGTGCCTGGTGCTGTTTGTTATTGAGAAAGTGAGAATATCATCTGTTTCAGCCCATCTGAGTGTTAGAAACTTCACCAATGGTGAAATAAAACACATTGCTGACGTGGTTCTTCCTGGGTGACAAAATCTAGCAGCCTTGTGTTAAGCTGTCCGATGGGGAGCGGTGGGCACTGTGCTGCCATGCCCGACTGGCCTCTTTCTCTGGGCACAGAAAACCTGGCTGCTTGAAGAAGTCCCCCCCCCCCTCCCC